AGTTGTATTCAGATATACATGTAGACTGTATTAAATACCATGTTTATAATTGTATGTATATTTAAACTGCAGATATTTGTTTGTCTTACACAGGGTTTGCATAAGGACAGATATATAACTCTTGTAGTTGTGAATATGATGGAGTTCATATCTTTATTAGATATTTAGTTCTACTTAAAAATAGGGTACCACTTTTGTCTAAGGAAAAACGGAAATTGCTTAATTTAAATGTTTAAGTCACATGGAATAATTTAATAATACTATTATTTAACTATTATAAACATGCGCCGCCGACAGATGAAATGAATATGTCCCATCATGTGTCTGTGTTAAAAATGAGTGTTTTCACAAGTGTGTGAATATAAGAAATTGACAGGAAATAATTGATAGACGCATATATCGACCTTATATAAGCTGGTATCAAAGTGATTTCCGTGGAAATGATGTTACATTTATTAACAGAAATTTACTGAAAAAAAAAAACTAGGCATCGATAGCTGAAAGAATCTCACACATATAGTATACATATAGGAGTGGTTGGTGACCTAGATTTTCCCTGACAGATCTTAGCAACAATCTACGATATACGCTAAATGATACATCTAACTCTCTACAATACAGGTACACATAAACTAAAGAATGTCAAGCATTCATTGAGATTGTCTGCAAGAAATAGTAAAATACTAGAACTCTGCTGACAACACTTTCAAATACTAGGGAACTCCACGCTGTCAAAAAATTCAAGTTTTGATTCCATGATGCCACAGGAAAGCCCAATAAAAAAAATTCCGGCTTGAAATTCTAAATTAAGGAACCAAACAATTTATTAAGGGTTTATTTTCTGCCCTTCAGTATCTGAATATTGAAGGACAAGCGTCTTGTGTACATATTTTAATTGTTTCCAAAAAAATCTATAGAGGCGCATGTATTTATACAAATATTATCAAGTACATTTGTATGCTGTTAATATATTAAAATTTGTCCTTCAATATTAATCTTGTTTGCGGACAGAAAATAAATCGTTTCTATACAATCATATAAGTTTCAAATGTAAACCACAGAATCGTATTAGAAGGGAAAAAAGAACATAATTTAATGAAATCATGTCGGTCTGCCATTTAAAATTCTTATTTTCTTCCTGGTATATTTGTCTTATCACAATTTCAAAACTGGTTCATTTTGTATCTTGATCGTTAATCTCTAACCAACCTTTTAATATTCATTTCGGAGATAACAAAGAAATGCAGAGTTTTGATTGACGGCAACTGTTCGATAAATAGAAAGACCATGTCTACTGTAAAACTTGTGGGACTGTGTCTACTGACTGTGTCTACATTTCAACTTGTATGACTGTGTCTACTGTAAAAGTTGTAAAAAGTTGCCCCGTACTTCACTTCAGTATTGTTAAATTTTTCTGGTCCTTCGGGATCGTTGATGCCAGCTATATTATTTTTTGCGAATTGAGAACCGCTCAAGCCGGTGCTAGGGGGTGTGAGGGATGTTGCACTTATTCATTATCCCTCATGTACAGACTCAATCAAACCGAGTCTGCAATTCTTATGTAATTTTGTTGTGATTAATGCTTCCGAGGGATCACTTTGTTTCCAGATTTTTGTATGACTGTGTCTACTGTAAAACTTGTATGAATGTGTCTACTGTAAATTTTGTGTGACTGTGTCTACAGTAAATCTTGTGTGACTGTGTCTACTGAAAAACTTGTATGACTGTGGCTACTGTAAAACTTGTGTGACTGTGTCTACTGTAGAACTTGTGTAACTGTGTCTTTTGTAAAACTTGTGTGACTGTGTCTACTATAAAATTTGTGTGACTGTGTCTGCTGTAAAATTCGTGTGACTGTGTCTGCTATAAAACTTGTGTGACTGTGTCTACTGTAAAACTTGTGTGACTGTGTCTAATGTTAAATTTGTGTGACTGTGTCTAATGTTAAACTTGTGTGACTTTGCTGTAAAACTTGTGTGACTGTGTCTGCTGTAAAAGTTGTGACAGTGTCTATTGTAAAACTTGTGAGTGTCTACTGTATAGGTTTATGCGACAATTTATACTGCCTTGTTCGGATTTGGGATAAAATCGTCTACCCTATTAAAATTGTACTTATGTACAATTCAGACATAATTATTAAAATAAGATTAAGGATCTATAGCATATGGTTCATCTAGGAAATCGTATTTATAAATGATTGGTACTATACAGCACCAAGGCCTGCGTTTGGCCGTGGTACATTTTGAACATCACCAGGAGATAGTCGGGAGAACAGCCATTTGTCTACATCGAAAGAAAAAAAAAACACAACAACAACAACTTTCCCTTCAGTATGCATCTAGTGTTAGTAAAACTCCCGTAATTTTACCACTAAATTTTTGGCACTTTGTAAACAATCAAAGGAAATAAAAACATTAGTCCTCTGTGTAAAAGATTGTTTAGAAACACTTATTACAATAAACCCAAAACATATTGTTCAAAATGTCGAAAAAAGAAATTCCTCCGTGGACCTCTTAAAGTTAATATGTTTGCATTTCAAGTTTTTAAAAAAAGTCATTTTTATTCTACTGTAGGATTTAAAGAGCATTTTTGAAAACTCAAAGAACAAAGATACACGGATGGTTTAAAGGAGGGTTCGCAGCCGTGGTAAACGGCGACCTCTCTTACGGAACGCCTTTTTGTGGCACGTGAAAGAATCATAACATTATTATTAACAGTTAATATCATGTTGTATTAATTAATTTTATTTTTATTCTGAAAAATCAAGTATACAAATGTTGTTAAATTTGTGTTTAATAACTTTATTTGAAAAGCATGTGCATTGTGATATTTGATTTTATGAAATGTCGGGCTCAATTTAACAGCTTATCCCTTATTTTCGCTTTATTGGTTATACTAAATATTGTTGGTATACACTGATATTTTCAAATTTTTGTTATGAATCATAGATTTAGTTTTTTTATGGTCTTCACTGTTTATTCATTTTCTGTGTGTTATGCATAGTTTATTGTAAATGTTTTGTTATGTATACTGTTATGTCAAACTTTTTTTGGTCAGGTTGGGATTGAAGTGAAATGGATTATTTAACACAACTTCATAATCTATTGCACCTCACTTTTTTAGTATTTTCTTGTTTTTGAACACATGTCTGTAAAAAATCAATCAAGTGTCTTGGTTGATATATCATACAATGATACTTCAAATATAGCCAAGATCTATAAGGAACAGTATTAGGCGTTCATTAAAACATGTTGGGAGTTTTGATTCTATGTCTTTAATACTTTAACTATTTTGACTTTTATGTTTATATTACTTTTTTAATTTAAAACTCTGCCAATATAAAAATTTAATATTTTCTAGCTTGTTTTTACTTTCCCTCACCTTTGACCAAGATTAAGGAAGTTTACTTCAGTAATATGTGTAGTTTTAAATAAATGAAAAAGAAAATGTTTTGTGTGAATGTTTTGTGTGCCCATTATGCCTCAGAAATGCTTTAATTTTTATTTCTCAAAATCTATTTGGGGCGTCTGTGGCCGAGTGGTTAAAGTTGTTGTCTTCAAACCACTTGCCCCTCACCGCTGTGGGTTCAAATCCCGACAGGAACTTTGGATTATTTCATGTGAGGAAGCTTAAGGAACGTCCGTGGTTCTACTCAGGTGCCCGTTCGTGCCTGAAATAACGCAAGCAAGGGCACCTGAGGTCTTCCTCCACCAGTAAAGCTGGAACGTCGCAAAATGACCTATACTGCGTCGGTGTGAGTAAAACCTAATCAATCAAACAAAAGCTTCTTAATACTGGTGTACTTTTAAAGTATCTAAAAAGTTACTCATTAAGCATTTACGTGACCTATTTTTTCATTTGTTGCTTTTTGGCAATAAGTATTGTTAAGTATAAGTATAAGTTATTGTGAATTAGTATTTTGTATGGAAGTCAATATACTATTTTATTTACATTTTGCTACTTTTATGACAAAATATTTCACATTCATCGCTTCTATCTCCAGGTAACAAGCATCTGGCATTCCCTTAAACCATTATTATAAAGTTCATGATTTACTTTTCTAATAAGTAAAATTTACACGATTTTGAGGTAAAATATGCCTTAAATATATTAAAATGAGGTCTATAAGTGACAGTCAACTTTCTGAACTGTTAAACATAAAAATTAAACATGAATTCAATTTAATTCTTCCATACAAATACTCCTTAAAATGTCAATCTGCAAATAATTAGGATAAATTCATTATATCTCCTTTTTTCAACACTTCATTACATCATGTAAGTTTATAAAAGCGTGGGATATGCAGAGGATATTAATAAGTAGAAGTACTCAAAAACCTTTATGGTATTTAAATGAATTCATTAAACTGTAAAACGGCAACGACAACAGAGAACTACGGTGTTCAGTTTGGGCCATTGCCTATGATGTAATCTGGAACGAGAAGATATCAAATTACGAAGACGAATTCTTTTACCCCGTGAAACATTTACAAGTCCGCATAATTAATAATATCTATGAATATTGAAGCCAACAATTAAATACCCAGAGTGATGAGGGAATACCTTTAATTTTTTTTTCCATTTAAATTATTACTGGCAGCTTTCAGACAAACATAACCATTACCATTTTTTCTGACAAAATGAAGCATTAAGTTCAAATATCCACCAATTTTATCACCTTTAAAGTCATATCTCTGCGGTAAATCAACTCACCAGCTTTCCTGGGTACTTATCCAGTAATTACCAATTTCTCTACAAGACATGGACTGATAATGTCACACGACCTCTAACATCACCTGTGACAAGTAACTTAAGACTCTGATTTACCAGTTTGTCAGGAAGAAATATATTGACCCTTAAAACTTCAGGAATCATCATTGTATGAATATTGACAACCATTACATACATATCAAGTTTTAAAGATTATTACACAGTTATGAAGTATGTAAAACCATTTTGTGGTCTCTCCCAACCATGGAGCAGAATAACATAACAAAAAAGTTAATTTTATACATTTTTTTTTTATTTTATGCTTATTTTAACATAAAATCACTTAAAATAATACAGAAATTTAGAAAGCATACTTCACAATTATATATTTCATAAATTCCTCCATTACTATTAGTTCTTTACTTGTCAAATAAAAAAAATATATGACAAGAAAGAAACGTACTTAGTTGCTTCCAAAAACACAATCACACTAAACACATGACATTTTTCCTACACATACAGACAACATTCATATAATATATGCAATATGCTGTGTAAAAAGAGACATATATACATATATTGTACACATATACACACATACCATATATATTAGTACATGTACTAAGTGAGATAAAGTCTATGATAGTCATTCGCACCAAATCCTGCGTTACATTTGGGACATTTTCTCTGTCTTGTTTCATATCTGGTCTTTAAACATTCTAGACAGAACACATGGAAACACTTTGTCAACACTGCATCTTTCCTGTTCACTTTGCATGATGGACAAGTTAACTGCTCCTAGTAAAATAATAAAAATACATATATATTAGTAAAATTTATTAACATGATAGAAATATATACAAAATAACACTGAGGGTTTAGAGCAAAACTGGTCTATCAGCTTCTATTTCTATAAAAAGATGGACCAGTTCTGCTCTAAGCCCTCGAAAATAAAGCTGGTAATGTTACAATTCTATTATTCAATTATTTGACAAAATGATAAGCAAATTTACAATGTAAACAAACATATCAGTAAATAACTTATCACATAATTATCAATAGAAACAAAATAACTGACCTATGTGTTTATCAAAATTCGACAGCTTAATGTAAAAGGGTCTTAAATCCTTCTGTATTTAATATGAGTTACAATCCTTTCGCAATAACCCCTCAAAATAATTAAAAGATTATTAATTTTTAACTATGTTAGCATGTATTCATAAAATTAACAAAATTACTTATATAATCAATTAAATAACCTTGTACCTCAGAGTTAAATACAGTCATGGCATTTTGTAAAATATTTTAACCAATCAAAAATGACCATGTATTTAACATATTATAATATAATGTATTACATGCACCTTATATTCCTGTTTTATAATATAATGAACTACATGTACCTTATATTCCTGTATTATAATATAATGAACTACATGTACCTTATATTCCTGTATTATATTATAATGAACTACATGTACATGTACCTTATATTCCTGTATTATAATATAATGAACTACATGTACCTTATATTCCTGTATTATAATATAATGAACTACATGTACCTTATATTCCTGTATTATAATATAATGAACTACATGTACCTTATATTCCTGTATCTAATGAACTACATGTACCTTATATTCCTGTATTATAATATAATGTATTACATGTACCTTATATTCCTGTATTATAATATAATGTATTACATGTACCTTATATTCCTGTATTATAATATAATGAACTACAAGTACCTTATATTCCTGTATCTAATGAACTACAAGTACCTTATATTCCTGTATTATAATATAATGAACTACATGTACCTTATATTCCTGTATTATAATAATGTATTACATGTACCTTATATTCCTGTATTATAATATAATGTATTACATGTACCTTATATTCCTGTATCTAATGAACTACATGTACCTTATATTCCTGTATTATAATATAATGTATTACATGTACCTTATATTCCTGTATTATAATATAATGAACTACATGTACCTTATATTCCTGTATTATAATATAATGAACTACATGTACCTTATATTCCTGTATTATAATATAATGAACTACATGTACCTTATATTCCTGTATTATAATATAATGAACTACAGGTACCTTATATTCCTGTATTATAATATAATGAACTACAGGTACCTTATATTCCTGTATTATAATATAATGAACTACAGGTACCTTATATTCCTGTATTATAATATAATGAACTACAGGTACCTTATATTCCTGTATTATAATATAATGAACTACATGTACCTTATATTCCTGTATTATAATATAATGAACTACAGGTACCTTATATTCCTGTATTATAATATAATGAAGTACAGGTACCTTATATTCCTGTATTATAATATAATGAACTACATGTACCTTATATTCCTGTATTATAATATAATGTATTACATGTACCTTATATTCCTGTATTATAATATAATGAACTACATGTACCTTATATTCCTGTATTATAATATAATGAACTACAAGTACCTTATATTCCTGTATTATAATATAATGAACTACATGTACCTTATATTCCTGTATTATAATATAATGTATTACATGTACCTTATATTCCTGTATCTCTGCAAGTAAAACCTCGTCAGCACCTCCAGCCATCTCTATCTTCTTACTTCTTTCTACCTTACGCTGTAACTTTGCTATCTCCTCCTGCAAACATTACAACAATCTTTATATAATAATACTAACATTTCAAACATTTGAGACATTCTTGTGAAACATACACCATCACATAGTGGTAATCAAATCTACAAAGCTATTACATGATACCAGTAATATGACCTTTCTATGTTCATTCCTACAGAAACATGTCCTATCTCTATGCATGGCTACAGGAAATCGTTTGTTCTTTGTGCCTAACAATAGAAACATGTTCTAATTATGTAAATAATTGCAGGGACATGTACTATCGCCATGAATACCTACAATAATATGTTCCTTCTCTGTCCATAGCTACATTAACATTTTGTGTGAATCTGCATTATAACTAGAATATGTTTTATCTCTGTTTATAACTAAAGGAACATGTCCTACTGTATCTAAGGTGAACTGCCAACATTTCATTAACAAACTGAATAGTTTCCTCACATACCAGTTACCAATTTTATTAATTCAGGAGGGTTTTTGCAAGTATTAATCATTATTAAAAAGTGGGTGTGTTTTTATATAGTTTACCACATCCATAAACAAGCATTTACATCTAAATATTCAAGTACTAATATAACACAGCAGACACACTGTTATGACACTCTAACTTATCATATAATACTGACTTCAGACTTACCAGTAAAACAGCTACTTTTTATATACTGAGTGCCAGGACAACTGTTAACACACCATCCTTATAATAAGACACTAGGTGGTATTACTGATGTAAATAATTTTACCATTCTATCATATTACCATATTTATATCAATATTTTAGACATACCTGCATTCTCTTGTATTTGTAAGCCTCCTGTTCAATAGCACCTGTTTTTTCAGCTACAGCAACCTGGGCTTCACGTAACTGTGCCTGGTACTTATCGAGATGAAGTTTAAGATCGGCCGCAGTCTGTGCACTCTCCACTGCTTTACGTTTATGTAACTCTAATGCCTGTTGGGTTAGCCTGTTACATATATACACAATATTCAATGAGTGTAGGTTTAATACTAAATTTATTGAACAAGTTGAATAAAATCATAATATGTGAGCCTCTATTGGATCTACATGAATTTAATATTCTTTTTCTAACATATATAAAATAAGAAAGGTAAACTGTTAAAAAGAGTATTTTTTCAATGTGTTTTCACCTGTAGTGTAACGCTTACATTAGCGCTCTTAAATGCTTTGTTTATATATAATATAAATGATGTCAAGTCAAAGTGTTATTACACTTTTGTAAAGTCATTTTTATTAAATGACTTTATCATACTCCTGTGCCACGATTTATGTGATTAATACATATAAACATTTATATAAACTTGTTCAGATCACAGAGCATTTTTCCAGTGTTACAGCTAGAGAAAATCCTAGAAGGGAGGTGAGGAAGGGTTAGGGTTAACCCTCTGTGGTGTAACATCTTTATCAAGGAGTTTGCTGTTTATTTTATGAATCACATATTAGCCTTAACCCCTAAAAACGTTGAAGATTGGTATCATTGTGAAACTGATAATTATTATTTAAATGAAAGAATTGTACCTATAAATCCACGCATTTGAATCTTACATTTATATTAATACACACATTATTAATATATAAAATATAAGACATACACTAGTAATATACACACCTCTTATGTCTTTACCCTGTACTTAACTTTACATCAAATATATTTGAGCCGTGTCACAACAAACCAACATAGTGGGTTTGCGACCACCATGGATCCAGACCAGCCTGCGCATCCGCGCATCT